GGAGGATAGAGAACTTTGGGTGGGTGAAAGAGGTTGGCGCCGAAACGGTTGATGGCGGGGCTAAGAAGTGAGTGGGGGTGTCGTGGTTGCCTGTGTAGACAAGACAGTTGAGGGAGGGGTTTTCGTCGAGTGATGGCACTGCCTCAAGAGAAATGATACCCTTTTATTTTTTAAATTACACAAACACCCTCAATTAACGGGTGTTAATGGGTGTTAACCGGTTTTACAGATAAATTCGAAATGACTCGTTACTTAACGAATTATTAACAGGTTCATTCGTTAAGGACCCGACACATTAAGTATTCACCCGAATGCTAATTTAAACGGTGGCTTGAGTTCGACTTAACAAGTTAGGTTTAAAATGATAGGTCTAGCTAACACCCGTTGATGAACTAATATTCCTTAGAAGGAAGAGGTAATGTAACTAAAGGCACTCAGAAACCATTAAAGTAATGCCAAATAGAATAATTTTGGTATCATCCACCATCTCATGATGTGCAGTTTGTTTGAAGACTTGAAAAGAAGGTGGATTGGAGGAAAATGCTCAAGGATTAGTTATCAAAAGTAATAGGATGTGTATAGAAAAGAAAAGAGGAATTACATAAGGAGTTTGGAACGATTTAAAACCGAATGAGTACTTCTAACGAGCATCAATAATCATCGTTGTTTCAAAAAATAAAAGATGAGTATAATGGTTCACAAAAAATACTCTTGTCATCAATTTTTTGTGATTGGTAGTCATGGAAGACGAACCACGGAGGAAACTTCCATGATCATTTCAATTTTCATGATCCGTATAACTAATAATGAGTTATTCAATATCTTTTATTTTGATGGAATTGATCAAATTTTTTCATCTATTCAAAGAAAAATATAGGAGATTCATTTGGGACGTTTTTTTTTTTTTTTTTTTTTTTAAATTTTAAATTTTAGTTAGTTTTTATTGGTTTGCCATTATACCTTTGTTTATGAAAAAGCTAATATTTGGCAGTTGGAGTAACTACTTAAAAAAATAAAATAAAAAAAATAAAAAAAACTACTTGACATTTGGATTAATTACATTTTACGCTTTTCAAGTTTGGGGTATATTTAAAATAGATCAATAAGTTTTAATTTTCTCAAATAGTACACAAGAATGGTTTGAAATCATATCAAGTTATGTTTTCACTATTTAATCGTATTCACTAAATTGATAACATTGCAAATGTGGAACCCGTTTTCTAGAGTAAATAGAAGCCACATTTACACCATTATAACCAAATTGTGCAAATGATTATCGTTTTCAAGCATATGAAGTATCAAGTTATTATTAATGAAGAAGAATATATATTTTTTAATTATCTTGTTATTATTTTTAATAGAATTGTTATTGGCACTCCTAAAATCTCATTTTGCATTTCAAAATTTCTATAATAGAAAGAAAAATACACTTATAAGGAATACATAGTAAGATTTTTGGAATTCTAATGATAGTTCTCTATTTTTAAAGGGAGAAAAATAATTCAATTGTTTCATTAATTTACGTAAAGCTCTCAAAATTGTTCACATGGTTGTCAAGTCAATTTGGAAAAGGATGCAAAGGTCAAATAGCCAGAAGACATAAACCGATGCGATGTCAAAATAATAAATCCTAGCCTTCTTAACAAGAAGCACCAGTGGTCTAGTGGTAGAATAGTACCCTGCCACGGTACAGACCCGGGTTCGATTCCCGGCTGGTGCACAACTCTTTTTAATCTTTTTCTAGAGCCATTTTATTTTTTTGGCAATCTCTTTGCCCGACTAGGGTTTGCCTATCACCATTCACCAGTCGATGAGCTGGCTTAGTATCTCCAGCTAAACAATTCATCATCTTATAAAAATGAAAGCAAGCAACCCTAATCCAATCACACACCCTCCATGCACAGACAGTGACTGACAATTTGACAAAAACCTTGTAATATCCATATGAGACACACCGCTCGGTCTCAAGTTGTCCAAAACATGTGTTGTTTCCTGCTGCATGATGACGATCGCATCTTCCTAATCTAATTTTTATAACTAAACAAGTACTTGATTTCATAAAAAATGAAATAAAATATTGCATGAGAAGTTGCGAAGAAACAGAGAGTGGGTTCTTAAAATATCATGAAACCCTCCGCTGTGTCTCTGATTCCCCAAACACTACTACGTACAATGCAGGTTTGTAGATTCCATGGTGCTGCTATTGTTTTTCACCAACTCTATCGAAAGGGCTCTTATATACAAGCAAATCAAGATATACGATCGATGTACATATTTAATGAACATGCATACTGTTGAGAGTTGTTCCACATCAATGAGGGACAAGGTTTACTATGTGCTTACATGGTCTTGGACTACTTCTTATATTGCCAATTAGTTTTATGGTGGAACCTCAATTTCATCACATACAACCAAGATCATGAAAATGCATCCCCCGGCTGTACAATCGAACCACTCGAACCGACAATTATTTTATACGTTCATAGAATCATAAGTCCAGAAAGCAAAGCTCAATGCATGAATGCTTGAACATCGGAATCATAATTTTAGCATGCATGTGGCTCTGTTCTATTCAAGAATTCTCAACATTAATGTCTAGTTAGAATTCTGATGTTTTTTAGATGTTCACAGACAAGGACACAACCTTATGCTAATTTTTGGGACACCATATTTATTTGGTTCATTTTGGGGTTGTTTCTCAAAAATAATTTTACCATTCTTCCGATGTTTAGTTGCTGGGACTAGATCATATTGGATTGAGTTTCAGTAGCCATATGAAATTTTATATGTTCAAAGAAGATTCATGAGACTATGTTTGGACTGTTGTCCAATTTAATAAGTTTGCGCAATTTCATTTTTTTTATAAGTTTACTAAAATGGTCATATACGTGCTTATTTGATATAGTCCAATTCAGAATGAGTCGCCAAACAACCTCAATGCAATTCAACGCGTACGCACGAAACAAGATACATTGAAGAAATTAGAGAATGGTGTCATCTAGTAAGTTGCTAGCTAGCTAGACCTACTGCTAAGGGAATGGTCACTGATCACCATATATATGAGCTTTTGCCATTCCCAAGCATTGGATATGATTGATATGAAAAACACCGACCAAAATTTAGCAACTTCTGACCATCTTCCATTCTTTAGAAATAGATCTTTGGAACTAGAGCTACCCTATGTTTATTTTTTTATCGGACATTAACTTATATTCAAATTAATTTCATGTACAACTTGACATATATATAAACATTTTACAGATCTTGTTCCCTTGATTCAAATATTAGTTGTATTTCTAATATTCTAATGTTTACACGTGTAATCTTCTTGCATTTCTCCTTCTCACAGACAACGCCATTAATCTAAGTACGGGGATGAATAAATTATGACTAGAATCCAACAATTCGAACTTTCCATCTAATTAACCGCACGATTATAGGATCTGCATGCACTCTTCTCACATGCAAACCCCTATATATATTGCTCTCAAAGAACCGATCTGATCATCCTCCTCCTTCCCTCCAAACACAATCATCCAACAACCGATTTCCTAAGTTTTTTTTTCTCTCAGTTGTAAACTTGTAATCCTTTATTTTATCGGTCGATACTATTCATCGTTTTCTCGTTCGGGAAAAAAAAAAAAAAAAAAACCCATTTCCGAAAATGGCTCAATATCAATTTCTTCTCCTTTTCTTGATCTTGGGAGCTGCGAGTGTAACCATGGCTAATGAAGTGGCTCATCAAACCCTAGAGCAGTCTACTTTAGCTTCACTCTCAAGCAATCCAGCTCCAAGTCCCTTTCCACCTATAACTAGGAAGTTGGGAAAGCACAACCCTAGTAAGACCAACCCTAAGTCTTCTGATGCGCCAGCTTTAAGCCCAAGAAGTGCACCATCTCCGACGAGTGAAACACCGGAGACCGGAGAGAGCGTGAGCATTCTTGAGCAGGAGATCCACATCCAAAAGCACCACCACTCAATGGACAAGTCGGTTGCCGGAGGCGGTGTGATCCTCGGAGGGCTTGCGACAACCTTCTTAGTGGCAATTTTCTGTTACATTAGAGCCACTGCAAAACATGAAGGTTCGGTGACTAGTACTACTGGTTCTAGTCCCTAGTTCTGTTGTATGGATGTAAATGGGTGTGTCATATGTGAGGTTATGTTACTGTAAAGAAATAAATACAAAGTAGAAATATGATATTGAAGCCATGTCAATTATCTGTGCCTTGAACATTGCAACTAGTATTGATAGAAATTGGACGACCACATAATTTGATCACGAATTCATTTGATATTTGATATTTCACATCAATTAGGTAAGAATAATGTTGTTTAGACATACAAAATAATCTCGTAGCTAACATACTTTCTAATATAGATGAGTCCCAAGTACGATGGTATGACCACCGCGATTAAAGAGTGTCAGTTACGAGGCCTATTTTTGTGTCCTTTTTAAGGTAAAAGCCAGATTTAATTCGAAAGCACTAAGAGGAAGAGAGTTACAATGGAGGAAGGTTTTTCGCAAAACAAGAAGTCACTCATTACATATGGTGGTTTCCCGAACCAACAACAATCAAGATCAGACCGAAAACCAAAACAGATGAGGCACCACACAACACCGTTGGATTAGCGTTTCATATGGGCCGATTAAACCCCAGTGATCGATTGCAATAGGGCTTCCGAATCTTCCACGATATGAACAACATGTCACATATCAGTAGACTAGAAATGTAAAACTGAAATAATCTTCGCGATTAATGACTTTCATACACTTTTTTATCTTCTCACATACCTCTTTTTTATAATTATCAGCTAGAACAAATCAAGTGAAATCAACGATCAAGATTAAACATGACTGTCTAAAAAACTAAAAAGATATTGTCAAAACTACTTCCTTTTGAATTTTACCGACCGTTTGAATTACACTGGGCCGCTACCGACTCCATTGGGCCCAAAGCTATAGTCACTGAACCGCGAACACTCTCGTCCGTTCTCTCTTCTTTTGTCTTTCCTGTTTCCCAAAGCCTTTCCTCCCGCGCAAGAAACAGCAAAGAGAAAAACCCACCGATCGGTCGCACTGATTCACACCGCCATGGCGAACGACAAGTCGGTGATGGCCGTGATCAGAGCCGCGAGGCCGACCTTCCGCAACAACGATGACAAGGTCGCCTTCGCCGTTCACGCCTCCTTCCTCGCCGCTGGCTACGTTCTCACCGCCGCTGGTCCCCCCGCCTTCTCCGATTCCGCTCTCTCCTCGCCTTCTACGGGTACCCACATGCTTAATTTCGATAAATGTTTAATTTCTCTTACAATTTTGATAATTTCTCTCAAAAAATTTCTGGGTTTTTGTTAATTTGGGGTTGCAGATGAAGTGGGCATGGAACAATGGAACGAGCTCGACGGCGAGTACGCATTTGTCTATATAAACCCAGAAAAGGGCTCGAAGAAGGTGCTTGTTAAATGCCTTGTAATGAACGACAAGTTACTTGTGGATGCTCTGGCTGATGGGAGTTCTCAGCCCGTCCATCTCGAAATCGAGTAAGTTTCTGCTGCATTTATTTTGTGTTTTTACAAAATTGGGTTCTTATAATTGTTGCTTGTTAATGGGTTTCGGTGGTTTTCGAAATGAATTTCAGCGTTGGTGAATATGTTGGAGAGGATGGGGGGAGCAATTACTCCACACAGTTCAAGAATTTGAAGAATTTGGTGAAGAATTTGGATACTGAAGTTCTGTCAAAATTATATGGGTCTGCATCTTCCACATCCGGTTCTTCAAGTAACCTTGAAAGGTAACTGGGTAGTGTCTTGCATTCGCTTCGGTTCTGCTGAAATTTTTGTTTTTAATCTGAGTTTTACATGCACATTTTTATGTTGGATTGTACTAGGACTGTGCTAAAGTAGTCACCGTTATTAGTTGTACACATTTATGGATATGAAGGTTAAGAATCAGTGAATGTTCTTATTACGGATTACTTTGCCTTTTTGTTATGGAACTTTGCAGTTCAGAAAGGAGTGAGAGATCAACAACTGAGCCTGTTTCTGGACCTTCAGGCTTTTACACTGGACCTCCAGACCCTTACACTGATCCTTCAGGGTATCTATCTCTCGCTCTCTTTGCATTTATGTATTTTTATGTCTCTCTGCATGCAATTCTAAGCGGTCCGTATGCTTGTTAAGTTTTGCTAGCTTATGCTTGGGGTTTTGTAGAAAGTTTGTTTGATAAATCTTACGTGCTTTTTTTCGTAGCTACCTGCCTGTTACACCCCCCCAGATTGTTAGATTATATGTTTGTTGTGGTATTCAGTCCCTAACAAAACGGAGCAGACAGTTGATGTCTGTACATTACCAAGTCACAGTTGATGTCTGTACATTACAAAGTTAATGTCACATATGATCCAGTCCTCCCTCTTGGGAATTCATCCGTTGACGAGTAGTGTCATATTCCATCGCCTTGTGGAGCAGTGTAACTGCCTTTACCATTTGGATCTGGCCATGGGACCGACATTTAACCAATTTTCAATTTAGAGGGTCCATGTATGAGATTTGTTTCAGTATGTTTAATCAAGTCAAGTTGGGATAAGTAGCTGCTTTCCTGTTTATAGCATCCTATACTATTTTTGTTATCTAATTTCGAAGATTCTTACTTAGTTTCCCCATCAATTTGCAAGGAAATAACTAGGAGTCTAGGAGGTTCAAATTATCCTTTTCTAGCTTTAAAATATAAATAAATAAAAACTTTCTTTCTTGAATTAATATTAGTAAAATGACATCCTTTTCTACCTTGTGAGAGGAACCTAAATGTTTTAATTTTTTTCGGAAGTTTTTCATTCAGATTAATTAGAGGTTAGTTGTTAAGAGAGTTTGGGAATTGCATTGATAATGTTAGGAAGAAAATAGACAGTTGTCGCAATATGTCTTTTTTGTTGTGATCGGAGTGAGTTAGCAGTGTCATGTTCAAAATTTTCATTTGTACCCTTAAAAACTCAGTGGCTGGTTTTATTCCCCTTTACACATTAGCTCATATATTGCATGGATAAGTTTTCAAAGTATGCAGTTTACACTATGTTTTCTGGCTTGCTTTGCAGAATTGTATATCCTCCTATCATGCCTTATGGTGGCAGTGATCTTTTGCCTGGGCCTGGTGCTGGAATCTACCCTTCAAGGTACTGTATTTCAACAAGGCATCATATTGGTGGTCATTGCAGTTTAAACCCTGTTTTACTGTTCCATATTTGACAACGTGTTTGTTATGTCAATCTTTCAGGGGTGGTGGCAGTGGAGGCATGCTTCTTGGTTTGTATAATACTTATTTACTCGTATTGTGCTGATAATAATCACATTACTTTTTTTATTGGGACTCACAGTTCATTCATTTTGTGCAAATAGGACCCCGTGACCCTCGTTGGTTTGGTGGCGTTGGAGAACCTGGGTTTGGCTTTGATCCCTCTAGGCCAGAAGGTGTTCCACCAGGTGCCCGTTTTGATCCCTATGGGCCCCCAGGTGTTCCTGGTTTTGAGCGTAATCGATTTGCAAGGTATGTGGAATAGTAAATTTTCACCAATTCTTGGTTGTTGTATGATCCATCTGATTCTGTAACACGGCTTACAGCCGTCATTATGGTTCAGTGGCTTGAATTTGAGGATTGATGACAGTTTTTGTTCAGTTTTGGTTGGCAAAGTTGGTCATTGTTTTGATTATGTGCTGGAAGGGTAGTGTAGAGTTGGTTATTTGTACTCTTCTCTCTTTTTCTAAAATCTGATTTCCCCGGTGGTAGGAAAATGGAATCGAAATTAGTTTCTTGCCTGGTTTCCACCTGATAGAGCTGTCATTATTTTTAGTTTAGCCCTTTTTATTCCCCTCAAAACATGCCAAAAAATATAGGTTTAATGAGCCTTTTTTTGACTCGAGGCCTTTGATCCTACTTAGGGGTGGTTTGGGAGTGAGGTGCTTAAAAAAAAAAAGCACCCATGAAAAAATGCTGTGAGGGTTTTAGGTGTTTGGTAAATTGAAAAAAAAAGATTTATTTTGGAAGCTGCTGTGAGAATAAGCTGAAATCAAAGGAAAAAGCTGAAGCTACTATTTGCAGCTTTGGAAAACTGGCTTTTTTTTCAAAGCACACGGAGCTACAGTGCTCCTTTAATGAAAAAACCCACTATCAGATTTTTTTTTTTTTTTTATCCAAAAGCACTTTTACAAAAAAGTTTACCAAACACTCTGTTGATTTATTTCACAGCCACTTATTCTCACAGCACAGCCGTTTATTCTCACATCAGCTTTTTTTTAAAGCACAGCAATACCAAACCAGCCCTTAATCCATTAGGGTGGTATCGATTGAGATTACTACCTGTGGGTTCACTGTTACTTTACAAATGAATATACAATGGTTTACGGCGTTTGGGAGTTGACAAATAATGAATGATAGACGCAAAGTTTTCAGATCAATGTACCTTCACCTGGAGTATAGTATCGTATGATTTCTATTTCTTGCAGGAATCCGCGGAGGCCGGGAGGTGGCACTCATCCAGATCTGGAGCATTTCGGGAGCGGCTCAGATTTCATTTAGGTATGCTGTGCTAGACATGTAGTTTGTCATCAAATAAGAAACTTGAGGACTACAAGGAGCTGACAGAGGATCACTTTTTTGTTCTTGCTTTCTTGTTTGGCATGCAAGTTGCTGTGTAAACTTTAACATTGTAAAGGAGATGTTTTCATAAGAGTATCAGATGCTGTTTATTTAAGATCCCGAACGTCCTTTCGGTCAGCAATTTGTTCGTGCTATTCGGTTTTGCGTAGGTGACGGATTTTTGACTGTCTAGAAGCGGTTTAAGCCCTTCCGAAACGGTCTCCGTGTTGTTCATGATGTATTGCACTTTTTATCACTACCCTTTCCTTGAATTTCCTAAGAAAAATTGACCACAAATATCATATGTCCCGCCCCTTACGTGAAGGCCGATACACTGCATAGGTAATCTGCTTCTAGCTCCCTTGAAAACATGTCTCTATCCTTTGAAGAAAATGAATGAAGTAAGTACGTTTTCCTAGAAGAAAATGAATGAAGAAAGTACATTTTTCTAGAAAATTCAAGTCCCAAAAAGGCAGTTTTCCCTTGTCTCAACGACCATCACAGGATTACAAGAATCCGATACGTTGATCGACTCATGTTTTGAAAGGACTCATCTGCACCCTTCTAGATGTCACTTGGCAACTTGGATCAGTAGCACGATGACATGTGATTTAATGTTTTCACATGAAATTGCGTTATCATGGCGGCATTTAAAATGGTGTAAGTAAGTCTCTCTCCAAGTTGTAGAGATGATGAGGAGAGATTTTCTCTTGCAACCTAAAGTAGTGTTTGAGTTCCGATCTTCATTCCTGTAAGTCAAATAACTGTGAAATATCGTTTGTATTAAAAAATAAATATTGACCTAGTGCCATCATCTATTCAATAAAAATTACACACATGTTTAAAAAGTATATCACCAATTCATTATAACTTCTGACACATAATATTTTGGTTGTTTCTCTCCATTATTAGAGTCGGCCACAATATGAACCGCCACTTGAAAATCTAGGAGTGAGAAGGAAGCTTCCATGCAATTCCATGTCAAATTCCAAAACCTGCAGAGACGTAAGACTCCGGGCAACGTGTGAAACATTTCCCAGCATTTTCTCTACAAGCACAGTACTTATTCTACATTGATTAAGAAATTTTCAATAAATAAAAAAAAAAACAATCCATCATTGTTCCTTATATATATATATATATCCTTTCTAGTTCGAGTTAAAATATATACTTCGGAACGCACCACCTTTTCTAATTCCTGGACCTTCTGCAGCTGCAAAAGCACAGATTTTGCTGGGTAAAAAAGCACAGATATGAGCCTCCCAAAGTATTCTCTTCTTCCTTTCTTGTTGCTTCTAGTCGTTCTTTTTACATCTGGGAAATCTTCAGGTGCTGAAGGAAGGCCACTCTCCCTCACGCCACAACAAGGTAAAAAGTTCAAGCAACATACTATGTCCTAAATGTAACCCCAAACTTAGAGAAACTCGTCACGTTGTTGCGGTATTTCAAAAACCATCACGCAGTGTCACGCATGCATGCATGTTTGGTTTGAAATACCGCTACCGGGGCATCACAGTACAGTATCTGATTTTGGATATAATTGAATTGACTTAGATGTGTTGTGTGAACAAATTGCAGGATATGCGAAGGTTTTTGGAACACTCGGAATAGTTTGCGAGTGTTGTGATGGAGCTGGAGGTGAATGCACAAGTACGTGGAATGGATCTTGCACTAAGCTGAAATGTCATCCTTGGAAACAGCATTAACAGTCCAAGAGATATTTTGTTTTCATTGGCTTTCTCTTATTCTCTGTACTTTGTAAAATACCCCATAAACTAGTAGAATTAGAGGTTTTTTTCTCCCCTTTAAGCTGGATAATGTAAACCGTTAATTTATAGCTGATGGAGTTCTGTGATTCTCTGTTTGATTGCCTGTCTAATACTAATGATTCTGAACTAATAATTGCCTAATCGGAAGATATTTGATGCTAGTTACATAAAACTTTATGTATTGACCTAATTAAGTTATGAGCCGATTTTCTTAAGGCGACTGGTAGCATAGTTGGTTAACAACATTTATCTTTACTGTTAAAGTTCTCAGTTCATTTTTCCCCTCCAAATATCGATCGTATAAAAAAGAAAAAAGGAAAAACCTGCTAACATCTACTCAGAGAACCAATCCAAGGTGCTGAGGTTTTGATCATAGTGTGTGTTTTTATGGGGAGATTAGGAACGTGGCTGAAGTTTCTTCACAGGTGGATTTTGCTGCTGCTCTAATAATTGATTTCTAGAGACCCCTTCATCGTATATAGGTTTCCATGTGCCAATTCCACAGAGGCAGTTAACACTCACGTGAGAGCTTTCGAAAGTAGAACATATTATACGTACTAGCCACTTGAGTTTGTGGCAATTTGCTCTTTTACATCTTATTCTTTATTTATAATTTTTTGTTTATTAAAAAATTTAAAGAAATAAAAGAAGAAAAACACCCACCATGCTTTTGTTTTGTTAGTTTGGAATTTTATTAAAATTAATTGCTCTATTTAAAAATCTTAACTGGGGGAGGGACAATTGGCATTTGCATAGTCCACAAGGCAATTTATAATATTTTGAATGTTTCACCATTTAGGGGTACTCCTTATACACACACACACGCGTGCGCGCGTGCACTAGCCTTTTTCACAAGCATTCATGTGCGTGCGAGAGGCTTTTTTAATTACGGACTGTACACGCACCTAAAAATGTCTTGAGTTAGTTCCTTTTCATTTTAATTGTCAAAATATGTTTTTAATGTATTGTGCAAGGAATAGATATTTCTTTATCATCCATGTCCTAATAAAAACAAAAACAAAAACAAAAATTGGTCTCTTATGGAGGGAGAGCAGTAAAATATGATGTTTGTGATGTTTTTCTGTAGTTGGGGGATGATTTACACGAAATGTAGTATACAAAAAAGTCTTGCTTCATTTCAAATAATTATGGTGATTCCTATTAGGTAATATAATACCATTTCAATATACATTTTCCACTGATCAATTAACTATTTTTTATTGATTTTTAGTTTTCGAACTATCTCTTGTAGATCTGGAAAAAAAAAATAATCAACTATCGTTGTAGATTTGCAATGAAAATTTGAATGGGTAGAAATTGTAGAGTTTTTTTTTTTTTTTTTTTTTGACAAACAACGATAGATTGATATTTCATTCAACATCTCAAACAGTACATAGGTGCCAATTGGGTACAATACTCTAGTGATCAAATAATGATTTGGAGGTAAATTTGCTCAAGCAAGACAACAATAATAAAATCCCTAAACGGCTACCACTTATGCGAAAACTTTGCACGCCACCGTACAAAACTATCACGGAACGATAGATATAACATATTTGTATCAGCAACTGCAAAGGGTCATTGCCAAAGAGTGAGGCCACATAAAGTCATTGCGGGAGCGAGACCACATAAAGTCATCGTAGGTAGACGAGACCACATAACACACCACTCAATGCGAAAACAATGTCCAACCAATGTTGCAGCGAGGCCACAACACTCGCTAGGTGAGACCAGGACTAAACTAAGATAAACTAAACTAAACTAAATTAATTAAACTAGTTCGAAACTAAACATAAAAAATAAAACCGAGAAGGGAACCACAATCCAGCATATTCCAATGAAGGGATAAGACGATTATGAGACAAGGCAACCTGCAATGACAAGCACCAATAAGACCAACCCTTCAGTAAGTCCCGCAGTAGATGAAAAGACACTAGAGTGTCCAAATCTGGAAACCTCAGGCGACGGGGCCTCCAAAACAAGTCAACCCAATTAAGTTATGCAATGCCAGATTATCCCGCCCAAGGTTGAGCAGCCACAAAGTTTTCATGACCAGGCAACGCAGCACCAAATTTGGGTGCAAAGGGCGGCTATTCCTTAGAAAAGTCGATGGCAAAATTTGATTTGAAACTCTCAGCACTGGGAAAGAATGGCGGAAGTGGCTCTGACCTACCAACAGCCCCAAACCAAACACAAAACTCTGAATCGGACCCAAAACAAAGAGAGAATGATTGGTGCACAAAACGGATCTTGCCTGCAATGGAACATCCATTTGTAAATGGATCTAGATATCAACATCGAGCTTTCTTTTGTGAATGGACTCAGATCGAGAAGGATTGGGAAGGAAGAGGCCTTGAGCAAGGCATAACCTGGATCTAGGGGAAATGTGAAGCCAAGTCAAAACAGTGGGAAAGTAAGACCTGTTGAGAGTTCTCCCACATTGGTGAAGGACAAGGTTTGCTATATGCTTATATGATCTCGGGCTACTCCCTATATTGCCAATTGATTTTTATGGTGGAACCTTAATTTTATCATGGTATCAGAGCAAGGTTGTCCACTTGTGAAGCCCAACAGCCACACGCTCTCCACGTCACCCAGTTGTTGTTCACGTGTAGGCTTGAAAATCCGCCACACGTGCGGGGGCGTGTTGAGAGTTGTCCCACATAGGGACAATGTTTGCTATGTGCTTATATGATCTTGATCTATTCCCCATATTACCAATTGATTTTATGGTGGAACCTCAATTTTATCAAGACCCACATGTATCCGCATACCCACCCTCACACGAGAGGGCAAGGTCTGGATCTGAAGGTTGGGGTTGAGACACGGGATGGGAGAAGAAGGTGGAGGGCTGAGAAAACTGGGTTAGGGAAGATGGCGTAAAGAAAAATAGAGGGGGGGTGGAAAGGCTAGGGAGATCTGGGGTGTGAGGGGGGGAAGGGGATGGGGAGGACGTGAAGGACAAAGGGAGGCTAGGAGAAGAAGAAGAAGCTGCCTACCGGCCCCTTGCCTTCGCCAGAGGCTTGTAGCCATGGAGGAAGGCTAGGGTTTAACGCTGGTTTGAGAGGGTTTTTAGGAGAACTCTCTTGACCTCTTAGGTAGAGTTGATATCAAAGAATTGACTATTGCAAATATTTTCATAGAATTGACCGTTGTGAATATTTCCAAAGTAGTGGTAAGTGAAACCATGTATCTTGACAATTGCAAATATTTTCATAGAACTGACCGTTGTGAACATTTTCAAAGAATTGGTAGTTGCAATCGTATGTGATCAAATAATTTTTTCTAGGGTGGCTCAGAAAAAGTACGCCAGATCATTTAGTTTACAAATTTATCTATAAATTTAGTATTTTTAGTATTATTCTAAACAATA